CATCTAAAATTTTCCAAATCAGTTCTTTTCTTAACACCCAGTACCTGCATATCATTGCTTGTTCGTTTCGGGAGTTTCTATCCAATCAGTAACATTTTTTAGTTTAGTATGGGCATTACGCAACAATCCTCCAAACACTGAGCGACCACACACACATTGAGTTGCTACTTAACAATTGTTTTTTTTTTTATAAAATTATTTTTATTATTTAGACGAAACATACAAAAAATTATCTAAAACGTAGAACACTCGTCTTTGGAATATATATTACAGTTACTTAGATACATACATATAAATTTTTGAAACTTACAATACATAAAAAATGTCGACCTTATTGCGATTTACTGTAAAATGTTTTAATACTTATTATGGTCCAACTTTTCTATTTACAAAATGCCCTTAAAATTGCTCATGTTTCTGCAATTCGAGCTTCTAGTAATTTTTCATTTTATATTATATATGTATTTGAAAAAACTTGTATTTTGTCTGCACAAGGTGTATGTACAGACATTCATGTATGCACCTCTCAAGTAACGTGGAATCAAATACTTTTAAATTAAAAATTCGCTTAAGAAATGAAATTTCTTTTCATAAAAATTGCGAAGAGTTTTCATCACCTCCGAAGGAGAATGCAATTAACTAGAGTTATTTTGTTGATAATTTTGAGATGGGCTAAGCCAAAAGTGTTCGAAAAACGTATCAATGTAAGTATAATATTACTTCCTAATGCTTTGTATGTAATAGTTTCGTTGTTTTTTCTAACGCGTACACACATTTGTGAAACTAACTAATACATTTTCTTTTAATTGGGGAAGTATGCGTTTTATTAATAATTTCTGCATGTGTTACGAATAAATAGTGTTGCCATATATGTATGTATGTTGATGTGTTACATTGTGTTCTTTAGTAATATTTTATTTACATGTGGCAAGTAGCTTTTTACGTAAATAAATATTCTCACACATACATATGCATGCGTTTGTGTTGAATTGGATCTTTTTAACCACGAAACCTTAAAACTGAATTTTCCTCATGTACTTCTCTTTAATATTATATGTTTTACATTTGCTAATTTTTAAATTATTTCCTTTTTCCTAGGCTTATATACTCTTTTTATAAATATTTCTAGAATTTATTATGCTTCTTCTCAATTTTTTACTTCTTAATGTTTATATTTAATACGCGTCTTATTCATGTAAAGATTTATATATTTTTTTTGTCCTTTGTAATCTTTAATATTACTAAATATTACTATTATTTTTGAAAAACTTGTACATGTGTCTTGATCGTAGCTTAAATTGGGAGGTATTTTTTTAATTATTTCTGTTATGATAAATATCATTTTTCGCTCAGATTTTCGGTTAACTCGTTAAGTGAATGATGTTTCAATTTGCGTGCACGAATATTATAATGAAAATCGCTCGCCTACTTGTAAATATTAATGTGCTATATATTTTAGTTCTATATGTATGTAAATATTTTCGAGCTATATTCACATTATTTTACTAAATTCTTTTATCACTATTAATATATGAATATGATTCTAATTTTGCATTTGAGTGCAAGCTTACATATAGAATTTTTTTTTGACAATAATATATGTACGAGTATGTATGTATTTCTGATTGAAATTAAATTTATAATAAAGTGAAACACAAATGTCCTCGTTGGTATATCAATGATTTTATAAATTACCCATGAATATTTCTTATATATGTAAATATTGTATGCATATATGTATGTATATATATGAAGATATTACACATACGCAATATGTAAGCGTAGTTAAGAAAAAAAAAAATTGTCAAAATTAAAATGTCTTGTTAATTTTATGAAAATATTATTATATTTTTATATTGAAACAAACGAGTAAGCGAAGTTTTAACTCATTAAGCCCAGAAAACGTGTCGCTACATGTTCCATATATAAATACATATATAAATAATTTTCCCTTATGAGAGTCTTTTATATTTAAATGTTTTGGAAAAAATTGCAAGCTCAACTAAAAAAATCGTTCTACGACCCAAGATGTGCTCAAAGATTCAATGCGTATGCGAGTATCACATTGCTCGGGTGTTTTCCATCGTAGTAATTTTCACCGTTTTTAAGTTCACGTGTATTCGATTACGATGTTTTGCAAGCCATTAGTTTATTTCACTCAAAAATAAAGTTTATCGAAGTTTTTATTCTGGTTTCCTAGTGGCAGCAGTGCAGGGTTCAATGGGTCTAAATGAGCTGCCCTTCAGCGGGACTTGTCTGTTGTCTAATATATTATATCTGTATGTCATGAAACTAGTGCTTATAAGAATTCTTCAGCTGTTGGTAGACGATTTAAAAAGAGGACCTGCTCATTTCTAGCTACCAGATCACAAATGAGAGACAACTTAAACGAAGTTCGCTTTAGTGGCTGTAATTATCAAAATTGAAATACGCGTACCAAATACTAATTTTATGATTGGCTGTGGAATTATAACTGTTTCTGTATTTTCTTACGTGATTTTCTTATGGACATAATCCGTCGGCACTTGCATTCATGTGAAAAACCAACCTATCTTGATATCAATGGAATTAAAGTTTCATCCAAATATATGAATATTTGAAATGAATCAATTCGCTCTCTATTGTGCTATTGTGTTACACCATTCAGAAAACCATCAGCTGGACAAAGTTAATATACCCAGAAGGATATAGTGCAGTTATAAAGAAAAAATGTAGAAAAAGTAGAGAATTTATTATCTTAACGTTAACGTAAAATAGAGTATAAAGATAACCGGAAAAGTGTATTAAGTGCAGTTTAAAAAAGTAAAAACGTGTGGTTTATGCATCTTGAAAGGCACTCATAAGTACTATTATTTAAAAAAGTAAATAAGTAGTAAATCTAATTTTTTTTATTTTAATGGGTAAATTGTCTCTTGTGATGGGTTTTGGATCAATGGTTTCTAATATTAGAAGCAGTTACTCTTAGTACACTCTCGTTGACACAAAAGTAAAATTCGCTTTAAACTATTTAATTTATTATATATAATTCATTTCGTGGTTAATTATGGTGATAAGTAAACTTGAAAAAATGTGGTTATAATCATATTTAAATTGACTACAATTTTTTTTTATTTCAACCATGGATCGTATGATTATATGCCTTAAAGTAAGAGAAACTCTTGATTTAGTTGGTTTACGCTTTCGCCGGAAAGCTCTTTCTGTTGACTTACACAAGTACTTTGCAGTACTTTGCTATAAGAGATTATATCCGCTTCTCGCTATCCACTAGTGATTTCAAGCTCTCTTAACATCATACATAAAAAATACTTCTTCGTCCGCAGGGTTGCAATCAGGTTCAATAAATAAAACGCAAAGAAAATGAAATGATAATTTTATTTTTAAATAAGAAAATGTCACAATAAAAAAAATTATATATGTATATGCATTCAACTTCTTCGTGTGCTCACAAAATAAAGGAAATCAAAATATTGAAGACTAACAACGAAGTAAGTTCAGAAATCCCGGATTTAATTGCTCGAAATTTAAAATTAAATAATTTAGTTTGTTTGCATATAGAATTTTTGAATTTTCTTTTCTATCTTCTACTTAAACAATACTTAAATGATATTAACATTATTAAGTTCCTTTTTCTTTAAAGTAGTATAAATTGCACATTTGGGCAGTGGCCACAGGACTTATTCCTGTTCTTCTTTAGAAGATTGTTATGTTGTTCTAAATAGTACGTTACGGCTATTTTTGCATGCGGCAGTGACATTTGACAGTAAATACTCGAGTAACCATTTGTAAATTTTGTATTAGAAAAAAAATTAAAATCTTCAAATTAATATGGATTGCCATAGTGGTAAGAGGTGATTTGCTTAAAAACAACAACAACAACTATAACTACACGTTTACCAATAACTGCGTATATTTCATTTCACATACTTGCTTTATTTAAGTATACAAAAATTATAATTGTTATTACAATAATTGATCCTTTCGATTTGAATAGTTTTGAATCATTTCAAAAATTCACATTATTTCATTTTCCTACATAGTCAAGTTAAACCAAATTTCATTCAGTTCCGATTATTATATACATTCACAATGTTTACATTTTTTTTTGAATCCAATATCACGATTTATCACATTTATCATTCCAGTAGGTATATTTCTCAAATTTGTCCAATGAGGATTAATTTTTGTATTTGCACTATTAAAAACAAATTCTTTTCTCCTGCTTACATATTCTTCTTCATTCACATATGTATAAATATAAAGATGTATATTCTTATATACACATATATTAATCAAGGTATAAACATATGGTATCAACACCTACTAATTTAATTTGTACTCATGTCGACTGAAGTAATCATAACAAATGTTAAAAAGGAATTATGTATGCTCGCAAGATGCATATCGGTCACTTATGGACATACATTCAGAATTACGATTAGCAAATCCTTGATGAACTCAAAAGGAGCATACGAGTACATACACAAATTTTAATTTTTGACTTCTTTTCAACTGCATACATTTGAATTTTTAATAACTTAAAAGTCATGTAAACCTTTGTTTTGAACGAGTAAGTAGTATTCGTTGTTGTTGTTGCTTCCATTTCTAGCCTTGTAGCCTTTAGCCGACCTTTAGAAAACTTAAAATTAGACATAGAGGGGGAAATTAAAAAAGAGCAAACATTTGCGGATGTTTAGTATAACTAATGTTAATAAATTTCAACATTCACGTCTTATATTAGATACAATTAGATCAATATTAAATATATGTTTCTATATTCAATAGAGTTTACTATAAAATAAGCAACAAAAACAAATTAATAGTATTTATATGCTTTAGCTAGACATATATATACATACAATTAATATATATTCATTTATGTATATTTATACTTATAAACGAACTGCGGATGCACAGAATATTTTTCTTTATTAATTTTACTAATAATTAATAACAATTTGAAAATATTACAACACTTTGTTTTTAACATATCTTTCTCTTAAATAAATATAGCTATTTTCTTTATAAATATGTATGTTATTGTGTATCTAAAATATACAATTTCATTTCAGTGAGCCTTAAAGCCATTTTACTCACCATAACTACTATTAACATAAAAAGTTCTAATAAATACAAATTCTTTACAATATGCATCCATTTTTGTATAAAACTTCTGTACTCTGCAAATATTTTTTTTTTAATTTTTGTATCTGTATTACCTGAAATTTAGCGAAAGTTTCGAGCAATCTTTTATTGCTTTGTACATTCCACCAAATCCATTTCATTTGTAGGCCATGCATTAGTTCTGAAAATTCATCGGATTTTGGATAATAATTTCGTTCATTTGAATATATCATCCTTGGAAACACCTTAACTGAGAAAACAATACAGTAAACACATTGAATTAATTCCGTGGTCATGAGCATAAAATATTTTTGACTTGTACAATTCTGGCCTTTACCATTATTTTTATTTTCAAGTTATTGCATTTATGATCCCTAAGGAGATGGATATTTGATATTCTGGAAAAAGAAAAAAAAAACCGTTTCGAAAGTGTGTTGTTAAGGCATTTCTACATTTCATTGTTCAGATATATTACAAGAATTTAGAATTTTGCAAACTTCCCCACACCTCAATGGAATGTACAGCTCATTGAGCTTTGTTGTATTTGTTATTGATAGTGTCAATAATGCTCTTACATTCGATGTACGCCATTTCCAAACATTTACACTCCATTGCAGTCAATCTCAATAATATCCTTTGGCACGTCTACAAACTGATAGACCAGCCTTTGTCCGTCCACCTTCGCCAATATCCCACGCTGATAGTAATAACGCAATGCTCGCCCCATTGTCTCATAATTCATATCAGGTTTATTCTTATGCATGCCCCATAGACGTGACACTGCTTTCGAGTCCACCAACTTGAATACGCCTTTCTCACGGTTGGTCCACTTAATAAAACGCGGACAATATTCTCGATCCTGCAAGAGTTTCAGTAGAAATTCCCATAGGTATGTTGTAGAGCCTTCTCGACTACGTCGTTTCACACCCATTTCTATTTTCGGCTTTCGTGGTTTTTTCACTTTGCGTTGAGGAAAACCACCAAGCTCCAACATATAGGAGAGATCATAATTGACATTGGACGTTGTTGGCTGAATCACACTTGGTTGATGCAGGACACTTCCAGCAGCGGTTGATTGGCTGTTGGCCAGCGTGGAATGCTGATGATGATGTAGGTGTTGTTGGTGAGTATGCAGGGAATGATGTGGTGTCATGCCGGGATTGGCGCGTGGCGGGGAGGGTGTTGTAAAGTAGGGTGCCGTCGAGTAACTAGTCGGATTTCCATTATTTAGCGTACCAACTGAGCCCGCACTCGCACCATTTCCACTGCTGCTACTCACCGTCGAGCCATTGGATGGACTAGTGTTGCTCGCGAGTGGCAAGTAGTAACCATCGGGCACTGGAAGAAGAAAACATAATTTTGACGTGAAATTGAATATTCATTGTTAAGAAACAAAAATTGTTATTATTACGACTAGAACCCAGCATAACAACATTTTGGCATCCATTCAGGATTCATAAAAGCCACATGTTATTTGAGCTCTATCCCGAGTTCGATTTTTGTTATTAATCTAATAAACTTAAAAAAAAAAAACAATAAATCCGTTCTTTCAATCCGATAAAAATCAACGCTGCGACGTAACGATAAATTGCACGTTAATCGAAAAATTTCTATCGTTTCGGTTGAATCATTTGGAAGTATTTACGTTCAAGCAATTATAAAGAAAACTTTCGTTTCGTTTCTACACCAAAACGAAAGGCTTTCGTTAATGTTAAATCGGTAACAGATAATTTTCGACGTTAAAATTAAAGTGGCTTGGTAAATCAGAGCAAGAGCCATTTTAAAATTATGGTTAATGATTTTATTTCGTTAAGTAAGAATTTCGATAAGTAAATTTTTCTTGTAAGCGAAACGAAATGATATCGATGAGTTTGTTGAATTGATTAGGGGTTTGGTGAGCCATTGGTTCAGGGATTTGCGCATGAAACTTTGAAATTTCGAAAAGCAGAAAAAACTATTTTCAACCCTTTCTCTTAAAAACCAGCGACCAAGCACTATCCTTTATAAACGGATGGTGAAAATTTACAAATTCGACTTTGGCCATGCTTTTTGTTCAAATTCAAGCCACTGTACCGTGCGAAGGGGAAAGCAATAAATCAACAATATATTGAAGGCCCAGAGATTTTTTATAAAATTTTCACTCAAAATTGGTTTAGTTCCAAATACATACTCTGAGCGGAAAGCTCCGATAAATTTTAACATCTTCACGGCGAATAAATACAGATTTGCATCTTCTATTTAGTATAAGAATTCTGGTAAACAACTAATTGTGAGAACATACATATGCACGCAAGCTTACTTGTACATATACTCATTTGCATTTGTAAATATACGATTGTAGAGACAATTTAATGTTTAGGGAGCTAGTCTGGCGTACTCAGTCTCATCTTTTCAACGCCATCTTACATTCATACATCTACGTTCTCTCTCTTTTTTAACACTCCGCTCTCTGCATTTTGACGAGCTCCGCTGTGGAGCTGAACGTTTATACTGGTAGTTGTGACCTTCACATTTTGTGCAAAGGCAATGTGTCGATGACCACAGAGTCATACATACAAAAATATAAACAACGAACGGCGAACACAGCAAAATGCATATAAAGCTCCCTATATACAATCTAATATATACACATTAAAGTTACATACTGACAAGCATATTTGTGAATTTGATTTTCTACGGTAATTCGAAAAACTGGAGGGGGAAGGGGACGCTTAAGTGGGACTGCATGCAGGCAACGTCGGATAGTTAACGTCGTCGCAGACGGCTTCACTGTTGGCGATGGCAGTAGCAAACTGAGCAAAATGTGACATACAGACTAACACATGGATTCACATGCATGTATGATAAAATAAGACTGTGTATGCAACAATTCTTCGCTGTGTGCAATGCGAGGAAGAGTGAGAGCGTTTTGCGATTAATACCATAGAGAAGGGGAAATATTTGACATGAGCATGTGGGGCTGCGAGTGGTGAGTGCAAATAACGTATTGGTATGTACATATTTAGACACATGCATACATATATTCATGATTCGTTTGTTGCAAAATGCAGTGAGCTAGCTTTGTACGATTCGAGCGGTTACTCACATTGAATGGCGCAAACATTCATGTGCTTACTATAAGTTTTATAGCTTGCATGTACATATGTATTTATGTATGTATGTAAACATGTCTGCACAAAGATAATAACATTTTTTTTTTTTATTAATATGAACATCAACATAAATAGACACAAACATATGTATGTATGTATGTATGTATGCACACGCCGATTTTGAAACCTTTTGGACCTAAGGATTACATATGAAAACATGTTAAATGAATACATGATGGCAGTTCTTACATTTACGCATGCGCATGCGCATGCTGAAGCCAAGCTTAAAGTACACTTTTATATTTATTATTTTGGATCATTTCCTTAAGATACAATTTTTAAATCCATTGTGGTTAAAATTAACGCTTTTAATACTTTCGCTTATTATTTATAGGTTAGTTTTGAAGTCAATATTAATGGTTTGACATATACTTCATTTCTCTGCAAAAGTTAAAATTGTGCCTACTTCGCTATAAAAATGTAGCCCGAAAATACATATAGTATTTTTTTTATTAAATGTTTAAAATATATGCTAAGAAATAAATAATAACTTACTTCCGACACTTCGATTCCATATATTCCGTAATGACGCAGAATTTTGGTAGAGATTTGGGTGTAGAAAAGTCCCTGTTGGAATATGAGATGAATGCGGGTGGCAATGTGCCGATATACCAAGCCTCGCCTTTATCTCATCACTACACGGTTGTCCTCCTGAACTAGAACTATCCACATCGGAAACACCACTATCGGCAGGACTGGGAGGGAAGGAACCTTCAAAAATGGCAATTTGAAAAGAAATAAATATTAAATTGATATGCATATAAGTTCTATTGATTTCAATGATTAAATGATCCTATAAAAATGAATATATAGAACACATCATTAACATAAACTTAGAAGCAGATACACTTTGAATTTAAATATATTTACTTTTCCAAAAGGCTTTTAAATATTATGAACTTAGATATGGAGGTATGGATGTATGTATATGAATCCAGTTCAGCTTGCCTACCTGTTGTAGCTGCCCCATAGGTCCTGTGATGTGAGTTGTGTATGGAACCGCCACTTAGCAGATTATGCAGCAAAGGCCGGTGTGGTATGGCCAGGGGCTGGAGCTGGTTACTCGCCCCTGATCCTGAGTGGGGGCCGCCATGTTGAGATAAGCCATTAACAAGTTGCTGCTGCTGTTGTTGTTGATGATGGGCTTGTTGATGGTGGTGTTGTGGAGAAAGTATTGCGTTTTGCTCAGATTTTATGTGTATAACACTAGGAGATCCCGCATATGTGGCGCTCTGTTGTTGCTGATGTTGTGATGGCTGCTGCTGCTGCTGCTGTTGATGCTGCTGCTGATGGTGATGATGCTGGTGATGTGTCAACAATGGACCAGGACTTGTTGATTGTTTTATAACTGGAATTTGAGTATCTGTGATTAGAAAACGAGAGGAGAGAAAAGTAAAATATTTATACAATTCCAATTCTCTTGTCTTATTTTTAGCAGGTATGTATGTATATGTGGATACATACAAACATATATACCTATGTAAGTACATACATATATGTACATGCGCTTCGGGTATGTGAGAATAATTATTCCCTTAAATATGACAAAATAAGCTCTGCTGCAGCCACTTAGCATAACTACGGGAGTTTCCGGAGTTGGGAAAATCTAAATACCGCTAGATATGCATATAAACTGCACTTGTGCACTTGACGTTATTTTGTGGCTACTAGAAACCCCCCATTCCATTGAAAGCAATTGCAATTAATATTAATCATTCTTTGATAATTAATGCGATTGCGGAGGCTAAGTTGCGGCTTTTATTATATGTAGGGTTTACTATAAAGTGTACATATAATTTATTCTACCTGAAGAACCAATTTGCAATGTCAACCGATTTCTATTTAATATTTTCCAGTTGACATTAGCTCAACTAGGAAGCTTTTCGTACTCAAGAAACTGTTTTTGGGGTTTTACATTTACACGCCGTAGAACAATTATAATTTGCACTTAGACCTGCTAAGAGGTGCGTCGATGTGACTATGAGCAGCAATCAGCAATCGGCAATCGGCAACTATGCGTCTCTGTGGTCGCCTGCGAGTCCAATGACAATGACCCGGTTTGCAACCAGCCAGCCAACAGCTCAACAACTAGTCAAACAACAGTAAACTGGGACTACGTTAGTAATAATAAAAACATTTATTTTCCCAAACCGACAAATCGCCAAACATAAGTGCATATATACCTACATATACATACGTTAGTATATAATATTTACATACATATATAATATAAGCATATATGCCCATATATGCACATATGTACAATACATATATAAAAAATCAAAAAAAAAATTTAAAAACTGATGAGCTACATGACGCTGATACCACCTTTTTTAATTAGCTGTGTATATTCAAGTACCGAAGAAAGGAAAAGCGCAGAGCGAAATGAAAATGAAATCGAAATTGCAAGCAAAAAGAAAAGGTGAAGTGCAGCATGTAATGTATTACGAATAGAAAACGAGTTTCGTCTATGTAGTCGTTGCTGGTGAATTTTCTTTCACCAGTAGTGTCACAAGTTAAAACAAAAGTTAAACAACAACAATGGAAAGCAGCAGAAAAAACAATAACTGCATTCAATTATCATCTCCGCGAAAGCAACCGCGCACTGAAGTGCAGCGAGGAAAATTAAAAGTAAAAGTGTATTTTCACTAATTTCTATCAGCAGATGCTATTATTTGGCATTAAAACGATCAAAACAAAAAAACATTTTCCTCCCATCTGGCCCCAACCCATCCGATTGAATCGTTTTTGCTCTTCGCCAATCGAATGCAGTGCAATTTATGAATGCACTAACTCACGCACGCGAGTATACATACATATAACTAAGAAACTTTGGAGAGAGTACAACGTTCAGGAGAGAAATGTAGCCACAGTGGTGTGGAGATGAATAATGTGGAGTAAAAATATTATTTTTCACGTCAAAAATATACTTCGAAATTTGGTTTCATAGAAAATTTGTAACGAATTTTTGTTTATATTTTCTAATTATATAATTTGGGTCTAAATGTTTCATGAGACATTTGCATTTTTATTGAAATATGCTCGTACATGTGAATATGTATGTAAATTCCGAAATGATGAATGTATTTGTTTTGAAATCTATAACATTAATTATGAATTAATTATTTCATTTAAGTGAAACAAGAGTTATTTTTCTCTGTGAAAAGAATTTCTTGCTTCATGGTGCAGAGCGTGTGCCATTTAGACTGAATGGGCGGAAGCACTGCCGCGCGCCGATATGCATGAAAGTGCAAGCGAACGCCGCAGGAAGGAAATGGCTGATAGATTGCAGCGGGCATGTGGGGAGATGCAATAGTCTCATAGGTAGCATGTTAACCTACAACTTTATTCTCGCATCGCAGCAGTGTCAGAAATGCAAGTGCATGTGTATGCGTTGGGCAAGCATAGCGCCTTTACGTTGCCTTTGCTCTGTTGCGCCTGCAATGAGAGAGCTCGGTATTGTGAATGCCGACGAGCCTCTGACGAATGCTGAGTTACATTATGCTTGTGTAAATAGGTAACTCAGCTGCACTGCAGTGTTGCTTTGTTGCTTACACGCATACACAAACGCTCCAATCGAGTTGTATATACATATGTATATACATTTGTACGAGTATGTATGAAAGCGCGTGTATGGTAAATATATATTTAAATGCATCAAATGTACATCGTTGTGTAAATACATACACTTGTAAGTATGTGTAAATAAAAAACTACATTTACATTCGCAATCAGATATTTAGGTGCGAACGCACAGGCAAACATATGAACGGCATATAACGTGCATACGACCAAGTGTGGCTGCGAGAGAGGAAGAGAAATCAGGTCAAGGCTTGTCGGTAGAGTAGTCGTCGTTCACAATTTATGCTTTGTTGGTTGCATTATTGCATGTTGTTATTTTATTTTGCCTTTTAAAATTGCTACGCTGCCGTTGCCGCTGTGCGTTTACACTATGCACATATGTATATACTTATATGTCATTGTAGTTGCTGTTGCTTGTGTACTTTATAGTTTCTGCTGTTTGTTGATTTTGCCTCATAGTTATTTTGTCGTTTACAATTGCATACATTTAAACATATATATATATATAAAATGTAAATATATGTGATTTTGTACATGCCAATGTTCTCTGACTTCACTTGGGAAATGCTACTAAGAGAAATTGTTCTATATTTTATCCACATTTGCTCTTTGCATTTCGCTAGTGCAGGTCAAATGCAAGCCAATAACAGCACATAATCGTTGGGCGATAATAGGCTTTGGGGAAACGCGCAAATATATAGGTATATTTGTATACATATAATAGGTCAAAGAATTGGGAAGGTCTCTGCAAGAGAAAATTATTATCATTACGAGAAAGTAAACAAAGATTTTTTCATTAAATATCTATTTAAAAAAATTTATTAGATTTTTCACCCATTTAAAAATTATTTTTGCAATTTCGAGTCTAACGTTGAAAGAATTCGTCTGAACAAAAAAAAAAAACTAATTACTGCCGCTGGTTGAGAATTTTTACTCAGGTTTTTTCGCATAAAAATAAAATATTTTACTCTTAATAAGACAAAATGCTTCAGAATTATTTGATTTTGAAACATAAATAATACAATCGAAGGACAAAAGTAAATTTCTTCTATAGGGACGTACTTGTCAAAACTAACATACCATACACAACTACGTCAATAAACATTATGTCGGATAACTACACTCTACGAAAATATTTGTTAGTATGAGGAGTACTACAATCACAATGGGTAAGGTCTTTATTTTTGACAAATAACTATTAATTACTAACTAAATTCTCGATATTCCGGCGACACGCCTACTACTTTCAATTGAATATTTTCATTTGCTCGTTTAACAACATGACTTTTTTGATGTTACTATAAACGACTCTTCTACCTGTTTCGAGGGTTTCTTATCTGATATTAATGCTGGTTTGACTTTTGTTGCTTTGATTATTACCATTGAAATATTTGCAAGTTTTTAAACATTTTATTGTGCTTTGTTTCCTTTCAATTTTCGGTATTTTTGTAGCGGGTGTTTGTTTACTCGGCATGAGTTGCAGTTACCCCTTTTGTTGCGCTTGACGGGCTTGACTCGGTTACATCACATTTTGAATAGTAGGTCAATGAGCAGCGAAATATAACAGCAACAACAACACGCAGCAAAAAATTAAAACTACAATCTCTGTATGTATGTATGTAATGTATGTACATGAATTGTTCGTGGATCTTTAACTGACTGGTTTTTTTTTACTGAATAACTACCGGTGGAGTGGCCTACAGTTATCATGATGTGTAAATAGAAATGTCAAAATAAAAGTGATAGTAATATTGACGCTAAGTCACTTAGCGATTTTTCGGCTCAGCATCACTCAAGTATTTTTCTTTTTTAGAACTTATAATTTTCACATGTTAGAGACAGTATTTATTTAGTAGTTTCTGAAAATAAATTTAATAACTTTAACTTTTTGCAATAATATAAAATGCTGCAATGAGCTCATCTCTCCCAAAATCCAGCTTTTAGAAATAGTAAGTTGGAACTATATTATTAGTTGATTAGGTTTGGCAGTAATATTCATCAACTTTTACAAGTGTATCTCTGACATAAAATAAAATGGCTCCTAGTAAAAATTCCAATCACAGTTAGCTGTAGGTCCCACCATTTGTTGAAAAAAGACTCGCATCATTAATTCGAAGGAAAAGTCGCATGAAAATCATTTCAATAGTTTGGTGGAGAAATTATATTAATTTGTTATTCAACTTAATTTGTCTATAATTTTTGGATACTGTTCGGACCAGGACCCGAATCTTGTCCACCAAGTGGCAGGGCTCTTGCGGCCCCCGAACCATTAAGTGTGGCTTATAAAAGTAAAAATACTTCTAACTTTTTGCTGCTTAGCGAGACAATCACCCCCAGGTTGCCTTAATCTGTTTTGCATCAAATTCTGGACAAGCTGCACATGATCTCATTCAGTCGTCTAAAATGTGTTTTGTGTGGTTAGAATGTGTGATCTTCCTTTGGCTACGTTGCCTGGGATGTAACTGTGTCCGGGCAACCAGATCACGTTGTGTTACATTAACTCGAGAGTTTGTTCAGTAATTCTACATTTTGTAACCACTTTTGAAGCAGCATCTTGTTCATTGTAGTGATCTAATCTCATTGCTTTACAAGTTTTTTTTAATTTTTTTTTTTTTTTTTAATGAAGAGAACAGTATTTTTATTATATTAAAATTATTTATTATTATCTTAAAATTGTCTTCTTAAAATGTTTTTGTGTTTAACGAAATATTTGGTTGTGTTGTTAGAGCTAATTTAGAACAATATAAAACAGGCACGAGTTTTGCTTTAATCATAATACAA